GGAGTTGGGAGACCCTACAATACTAAACAGGCACTTCACCAAAGAGCATATACAGGTGGCAAATAAGCCTGTGAAAAGATGTTCAACACTATTAGCCATTAGGGAAATGAAATTTAAAGCCATGATAAGATACTGCACACCTATTAGAATGACTAAAATGAAAAATACTGGCATGACCTAGTGTTGATAAAGACATAGAGGAACTGGATCTTTCATACATTGCTAGTGGGAATGCAAACTGATATAGCCACTATGGAAAATAGTTTGTCAGTTTCTTATAAAGTTAAACATGCACTTACCGTCCTACTCCTGGATATTTACCCTAAAGAAGTGAAAACTTAGGTTCACACAAAAAGCTATACACAAAAGTTCTTAGCAGCTTTATTTGTAATAGTCAAAACAATAGGTGAATGGATAACAAAATATTGTGCATTCATACAATGGAATAATATTCTGTAAGAGAAAGAATGAACAATCAATATAATAAGTTGGAGAATCTTGAGGGAATTACACTGAGTGGAAAAAGCCAGTCTCAAAAGATTATATATTTGATGTTGATTCCATTTATAAAACATTCTTTAAATGAAAAAATGATAGTGATCGAGAAAGATCAATAGTTGCTGAGGGTATTGTTGGGGGAGGGTATGCTATAAAAGGATAGCATGAAGGTGTTTCTTTGGGGTGATGGAACAGCTCTGTATCCTGATTGTGGTGCAAGTTATACTAATATGTATATGTGATAAATTTACATAGAACTGTACAAACACAATCAGTGCATGTAAAAACTGGTAAATCTAAGTAAGTTTTGCAGTTTGGTTAACAGTATTGTACCAGTGTCAGTTTGCTCATTTTGATATTTGTACTGTGGTGTGTCAGATGCTGTTGCCAAGTGAAGAGTACCCAAGAATTCTGTGCTATTTTTGTAACTTCTATGTGAGTCTAAAATTATTTCAAAATAAAAATTTGGGGGGGAAAAACCAGTGTTAAGAAAGTGGAAGGGGGCCGGCCCGGTGGCGCACTGCGCTAGTGCGCCGCTTGAGAAGCGCGGCGGCGCTCCCTCCGAGGGTTCGGATCCCACATACAGACCGGTTCCCGCTCACGATGTATATCTAGAATGTATAAGTAAGTATTACAGCTCAGTAACAAGAAGACATTCATATTGTAATAATGAGCAAAAGAAGTGAATAGCTACTCCACCAAAAAACCAAAAAATGATACATGAATGGCATATAAGCCCATGAAAAGATGCTTAACATCACTAGTATTAGGGAATGTAGATATAAACCACAATGAAATACCATTATATACCTAGTAGTATAGGTAAAATTAAATGATATCCACAAAAATGTGGAAGATCTGTAACTCTCATACATTGCTGGTGCAAGTGAAAAGTGGTGTGGCCACTTTTGAAAATAGTTTGGCAATTTCTTATAAAGTTAAATCTAGGACTCAGCACTCCCATCCAAGGTGATGAAAAAAAAATGTACGTAAATGTTCATATTAGCTTTATTTATTTATTTGTTTATTTTTGCGGCTGGACAGTATGGGGACCTGAACCCGTGACCTGGGTGCTGTAACGCCACACTGTAACCAACTGAACTGGCCGGCCTACGTATTTAACATCATTTATAGTGATCCCCAAACTGGAAGCACTTCAAATGTCCAAGTGGTACATTCATACAATGGAATACTACTCAGTAGTAGAAAGGAATGGAGCATGGATTAGGGCAAGTGAAAGAAGCCTCCACCCCCCTGCAAAAATTACATGCTGTATGATTTCATTTATAAGAAGATCTGGAAAAGGCACAACTAAGCAGTTTATTGGTTGCTGAAGGTAGTAGGGGGGAGGTGGGTGGAGATTGACCATACAGGGAACATTTTGAAGTGGTGGAAGCGTTCTTTATCATGATTTTTGTGATTACAGGATAATACACATTTATCAAAATTCAAACGGTACTCCTTTCTCTCTCCCTGCCTGGGTGACTCATATTCAATGTTTAGATCTTACTTAAATGTCATGTTGTCCTTCATTGCCCTTATCACAGCTCTAGTTAATCAGCTTAAGATCTCTTTTTCTGTCTTAATTGTGAACTCTGTGATGAGTCAGATGCTAATTACTATTATGTTCAAGGAGCTAGCATAGTGCTTGAGTCAGGTACTCTGTTAAATATTGCATGAGTGAGTATAAGTATGTAAAGTTTTCTTTACTTCCTGTTCTTGGGAGTGGCAGCTGTGGCTTCTGCTGAGGGTTACCTACCCACTGACTGGAGCTGCCTGTTCAACCTTGGAGTCTGTCTGCTGCTGCTGCACTGCTCCTAAGGAGTTGTGACTATTGATGCTCAGCTGCCTGCCATGGCTTTGTTCAGACTTCATGTGGGCACCATGGGTTCCATTTCTGTTACTGGGCCACCTTGTTCTGAGAATAAAGAAGCCTTTCCTTGCCGTCATTCTTTTAGTAGAAAAGGAAATCTTCCCTAGTGCATGTTCCTGAATCTACTTAGCCTTTTTGATTTCCAGCAAGTTGAAAAACTCTGGAACACAGCCTTTGTTTCCTTACTGGCTTTGGTAGTAGTAAGTCAATTCCTGTGAAGCACCACAGAGTACCCCTTTCTAACCAGATCCTTAAAGAGAGGAACACAACTCCTCCAACTAAGCTTAGGAAATGTAATCTGCAGGCACAGTTTGACTGCTTGAGTAGAAGCCTGTTTAACCTTCCAGCAGGTGAAAACACCATCGACTGCACTTTATCTGCAGATATGATCAGAAGCTTACCAGAGACCGTCATTACTGTCTCCATGCCCTGGGGAGACCCCATTTCCAGGATAAATGTGTAGAATATTTGATGAAGGGCCTGATACCCAACACTTTCCTCTCTTCCTCTTCCCACTTCTCTTCCCCCTTATTTCCTTGCTCTAGCAGGCAAGCAGGAATTCAAGTTAAGGTAGGAAGTTGGTTAGAATGACCAGTACTCCTATTTGATCATTCTGTGTGCACAGCTGAGTGTTTAAATCATTACCAAAACTCCTTTCTTTAAACCTACGGTCTGTCCACTTAGAATTTGGAAGGCTTGTCATTTTTGACAGTCCTCTCTGGAATATGACATGACTAGTCCAGTTATTAATTTTGGAAGTGTTTCTTTGTACCTTTTTCAGTTTATCCAAATTTAATACCTCACTTATTTCTAACTTGTTTATCCTCTGTTTTAAAATTTATTCTGTTTAGACTTTTTTGTTTATTTATTTTTAACTCCATTAGACCTAAAGAATCCTTATTAGTTCTGTCTCTTTCATCTGGATTACAATAAGAGCCTCTTTCGTTTTCCTGTTCCACTCTTGCTCCCCCTCTCCCTGCAGTATAATCTCCAATAGCAGCCAGGAATTTGGTCAAGGCATTCTTGCTCTCCACCTCCCAGTGGCGTCCATCATACTCTACTGGAATTCATCTTACTGTAGTTAGTGGTCTGGCCCCAGGACATAGCACAGTACTTGGCCCATTGTAGGTGCTTGATATTTATTAAATTAATTTTTTGCATTATATATCTTACCAGTATTATTTTTTGTTAGCATTGTTTTACAACCACACACAGAGCAATTCTTTAGACCTGACTGATTTTATGGTTTATTGGAGAGGTGAGTAGCAGGTTAGTGTTGTCTTGTATGCATTTTACAATAGACTACTTTCATTTAGTAAGGATGGATAATAGGTTCTTCAATAACCAGTACTCTAATGGGTAGAAAAAGACTGCCTTGACTTTTAATCTGACAGATGGTAGCTGTCTTGTATGCATTTTGCAATAGACTACTTTCATTTAGTAAGGATGGATAATAGGTTCGTCAATAACCAGTACTCTAATGGGTAGAAAAAGACTGCCTTGACTTTTAATCTGACAGATGGTAAAGAACTGTGGTCTGAACTTAGATCGTAGTTTTCATGCCCCAATCAGGTTAGAGCAATATTGTTTTGTTTTGTGTCCTAATATACCAAATGCTTCTCTCTCTCTTCTTGATCTTATATTTTCTACTCTGCTTCTCATCCTTTCAACCATTACTGTCTTAGCATATACATTGCACCATGATGCTGTTGTTGGGGCAGGGGATCTGCCATAGTAGAAGCACTGTGATGCCTTGTGTTTTTTAGAAAGGCGTGTGTGCTAACTGACATATTAGCCTGGCCAATTATTGTTTCTTCCACTTGATGCTAAAGTCATTCAGTTAGTTTTTGATGAAAGCTTATCAATTCCTCACAAAAATTAAGTTGTAAAATTTTTTACTTAATTCAAAATACTTCACAATAAACACATAAAAAGGAATGATTTTAAATTTTTAAACTGTGGAAGTGACTTTAAAAATATTTTAGATTATGATTACTTGCTTTCTTCTGTTAGTCTTTCAGTAAGTTAAGATATGTATGTGTTTGGATAAGGAAAGTGTGGTAAATATATACACCATGAAATACTACTCTGCCGTGATCGAACAGAAGGAGGGAACATTCCTAGGGCTACAAAGTGGAGGGGGGTTGGGGGCAGGAGGTGGGGGGAATAAAAGCAGTTTCTGGTAATTTGTATCTCATGAATATTCATAAAAATAAATAAATGGGGGAGGGACATTTCAAAAGCCTGGTCCCACCTCCTAAAAATCATGTTCAGTAAAGCTAAGCCACGTCTTGGGCATCTATGCATTTTGTTTTTAATAATTTTAAAAAATTAGCCATTAAAAAAAAGGTATGTTTTAATACCAAGGACTTCTAGATTGGAGGAACTGTTTATTCTGATAAAAGTTTTTTTCTTAAAAAAAAAAAAAACTATTAGTCATTTCCTTAAGTTTGGCATATGCTAACCAAGGCTCTTGTATTTTTTCTTTCTCATTGTGTTTTTAAATGAAGCTGCTCTTTTAACATGATCTAGCAGTGTGTGTTGCTGTCAGTAAACAAAAAGTAAGTGTCTGAATTTTAAGATTAAGCAAGTTTATTTTGTTAATATCACATTTTATTCTATTTTGCAGCTTCTTGGTGAATTTTTGGATGAAGCCATTAAATTAATTGCTTGCCATCATGAGCAGAAGCAAGCGTGACAACAATTTTTATAGTGTAGAAATTGGAGATTCTACATTCACAGTCCTGAAACGATATCAGAATTTAAAACCTATAGGCTCAGGAGCTCAAGGAATAGTGTGGTAAGTTTTTACTTTCAAAAATTAGGCAAAAAATCATTAACTGCTACCTTTCCTCCTCTTATAGGTACAATGGAAAATATATAACTTGCCTCAAAAATTAAATTAAAACTATAAAAATTAAATGAAAGCTATGATAAGTTGTTTTCTTCAGGGATTAATGGTCTTCTTTAGTATTATTCATAAGACATAACTTTATAAACTAGCACTACCATTTTTAAGTATAAACTATGATTAAATACTTGGTCATGAGCCAGGTAAAGACTTAGTATCTATATCAGGAAACAGTAAGTGGTGTGCTCGCATACATCTATTCTGATGACTGATTGTTTAATGAGATGATCACTTAATCATCATTTTCACACTATAATGAAACTCTGAGGTTTCAGAAATCTTATTTTACACCGGGGAATGAAGTCAGCTAATATCATCTCACTGTATATATTTCAGAACTCATATGTATCTTTAAAATTGATCTACAAGCTAATTTCTTCAAAATGCCCAGGCCTTATTGATCAGCGTGATTCCTTATAAACTGAAATGTAAAACACTCCTTGGGATAGTTTTGCTAATGATTCTAGATCACTAAGTTAGCATAATAAGCTAGTGTTCTGGGGAATTCTAAGCCTCACTCAAGCATAATTATATCTTTATTACCTCTTCTTCAACAAAATTTGTTTCAGAACACTTGATGCTAAAGTCATTCAGTTAGTTTTTGATGAAAGCTTATCAATTCCTCACAAAAATTAAGTTGTAAAATTTTTTACTTAATTCAAAATACTTCACAATAAACACATAAAAAGGAATGATTTTAAATTTTTAAACTGTGGAAGTGACTTTAAAAATATTTTAGATTATGATTACTTGCTTTCTTCTGTTAGTCTTTCAGTAAGTTAAGATATGTATGTGTTTGGATAAGGAAAGTGTGGTAAATATATACACCATGAAATACTACTCTGCCGTGATCGAACAGAAGGAGGGAACATTCCTAGGGCTACAAAGTGGAGGGGGGTTGGGGGCAGGAGGTGGGGGGAATAAAAGCAGTTTCTGGTAATTTGTATCTCATGAATATTCATAAAAATAAATAAATGGGGGAGGGACATTTCAAAAGCCTGGTCCCACCTCCTAAAAATCATGTTCAGTAAAGCTAAGCCACGTCTTGGGCATCTATGCATTTTGTTTTTAATAATTTTAAAAAATTAGCCATTAAAAAAAAGGTATGTTTTAATACCAAGGACTTCTAGATTGGAGGAACTGTTTATTCTGATAAAAGTTTTTTTCTTAAAAAAAAAAAAAAATTAGTCATTTCCTTAAGTTTGGCATATGCTAACCAAGGCTCTTGTCAGATATGCTAACTGTTCTGATTGGATATCGTTATAAAATATATGCATATATTGAAACAACAAGCTGTACTCCATAAACGTACAAAGAAAAAAATTTTAAAATGTCGAAAATAATAAAACCTTTATTTGAAGACAGTCAAAACTTCTAATAATTTTACATGACCCTTAATATGGTTTTGTTTTATTTTTTTAACTTGGGCAGGACATACCTATAAATATGGCATTTTAAAGTAAGGATTGTAATATTTATGTATATTTTGTATATATGTGTATGTATATATGTATGTATATAGGCAGTAGTTAATGGTATATATGGAATGTATAAGATGTGTCCATTTATGCAGTACCAGTTTCTTAACACATGTAGTTCTACAGTATATTTGATATGATGAGATAGCTACAAAACAAATTTAATTTTCAGTCAGGTGAGAAAATAATGCTAATCAGTAATGAGCTGGCTTTCTAAATATCTCATAAACAGGAATAGTCTTCTATAGTATGTTAGGTGGTCTAGTATGAAAAGCATGGCCTCATGTCTTAGTCTTCTAGTCTCAGCTTTGCTTTTAACTTTCTGTCTAACCTTGAGCAAATTACTTAACTGCTTGCCCTATATTAGGCAGTAGTGAATCCAAACGATTTTTAAGGTCTTTCAATCATAAAATTCTATAATTTAAAGACACTTTACCTTATTTGTGCCTCAGTTTCTCTGACCTGTCATATGTGAAAGGTGCCATGTGGTTAGTATCATGGGGTAGAGGAAGATATGAGGAGTAGTGAGTATGATGTTGTATGTCCCAGTTATGAAGCAGCTTCTGAGGTCCTGAAATTAACATTCATATTTACAAACACCTTTATTTTTAGTTCCTCCTTTCTGCAAATTTTAAGGGCTTTATTTTCTTTTAATTGTAAAATAATCTTTTGTATACGTACCTCTATCTCTACCTTCCTCTTTCTCTATTCATTTTGTTGTGTCCAAAAGAAAGGAAGTAATGTATTTATGTAGAATTCTTCTGCAAATATTTTGAGGAGAATTCATGATCATGTGTACTCTTTATCCTGCCTTTCCTTGATGTAGGTGTAGGGTGCAGGATTCATTTAGGCTTTAAGTTATCTAGTGGACCCAAATATTCATTAAGCATTTGTGCATTAAATGCCCACTGTGTGCTCGGTGGATCTTGGAGGACACACAGTGAACAGGCAGGGTTTCTGTCTTCATAGTCCCTTATCTCTTTGGAACCATTAGCATTGTTGGAATATGCTGTAAAAGGTATAGAAGACACATGTTGAGCATCATAGACTGGAAAGTGATCTGATTGCATTTGTCGTTAAAGAAAGTGAGGATCTGCATGAGTGTTTCATAAATTCAGTTTTATAGATTTTTGCTTAAGTTTTTTTGTTTTTGAATTTCATATTACAGTGCCGCTTATGATGCCATTCTCGAAAGAAATGTTGCAATCAAGAAGCTAAGCCGGCCATTTCAGAATCAAACTCATGCTAAGCGGGCCTACAGAGAGCTAGTTCTTATGAAATGTGTTAATCACAAAAATGTAAGTGATCATTTTAGATTTCTTTATTATAGATGAAATGAAGATTTATTCACGAATATATCAATATTAAAGACTTTTTAAATATTAGAGGCTTCAAATTGTTCTGTATTGAAACATTGTTTAAAAGGGATAACCTTTTATAATCTATAATGAGAAGTTTTTTTAACTTTATTAAATCGTATCAAAAGAAAGATGTTGTCTGAAACTTAGTTTGTGTAATTTCTTAACATTGAATTTACAAAAGGAGTTTTAAAGAGGTACGTGTTTTAGAAGAACTTTATTCAACCTTGATCTCGTTGTCTGCTTTTTGTTCTCTATCAGGCTGACACTTCAGAAAACTGTAGTGTTACCACAGATATGAAATTGTTCCCATTTTACTTTAATACTAGAAATTTATCTAATCGTATTGGGTATAAGATTTAAATCACTTCTCCCTATCCCACTCCTACTTCTTTATGTGATGGCAGTACTCACTGGTCATGTTAGGTTGAAGATAGCCAGTGTTTATAAAGCAGTTTGGCAGAACTTTTTGAAAATATTTGAAGGGAATTAGAAAAACATTTCTAATTTTATTTCTTTTTTTTTTCGTCTTTTTTCGTGACCGACAACGGGATCACAACCCTCGGTGTTGCCCCCGCTCCTCGCTCAGCCAGTGAGCAGCCAGTCTGTATGTTTTTTTTTTTTTTTTTTTTTTTTTGGTCTTTTTTCGTGACCGGCAACCGGATCACAACCCTCGGTGTTGCCCCCGCTCCTCGCTCAGCCAGTGAGCAGCCAGTCTGTATGTGGGATCCGAACCCTCGGCGGGAGCGCTGCCGCGCTTCCCAAGCGGTGCACTGTAGCAGTGCGCCACCGGGCCGGCCCTCTAATTTTATTTCTTAATGATTATAAAGGCTTAAAGATAATAACTTTTACTCATTTTGAGGATAAGCAGTTATATTTTTTAATTATACTGAGTAATTATATACTAATCATACTGATACTTTTATGATTATTTTATTTGAATGATTTCTCCAAGCCAAGAGGAGATAGACTAGGAGTGAATTATGCAAGGGACAGTTTTATGAAGTACTAAGCTAAAAGCGTCTGACTGGAGACATTTTGTGGTGTTTGGCCGCAGGAGTTTATAAAATATAATGAGCTCAATACTTCCTGATTACAGATAATACAGTTCACCACATTTTGAGAGCTATGTGCAAGCCTCTGTATATTGGAGTCATCAGGTTCGTCACTAAGGAGAGAAATTCACGGAAGTTAAGGATTAGGCTCCTTATTTGGGGAGCTCACAATGTTGTTCTGAAGACAAAACAAGTACATGAAGAGTTAAATATCAAACGTTACAAAGCAGTAGAAGTTTAATTGTCAAATGATGGTGGATGGACAATAATTGCTGAGATCTCGGGAGAGAGATTTCTGTGGGCTTTAATGAACTGAGAAGGATTTGGGGAAGAGTGCACCTAGACTGACTCAAAGATGAGGTTAAAATTGGATTGTTGAAGGAAGGGGGCCTCCTAGAGAGGAAGAATGGCCTAAAAAAAGCCCCAAGGCCCAGAGATAGAGGTTAAAGATAGTCAGTGACAGGGAAAAAGTTGTGGCAGCCATTCTTGTAACAGGTGGCTGCCGGACGTGTTGCTTGTCAAAGTTTTGCTGGTGACTGCCTACCCTTGGATACCCTCTCCTACGTCAAAGAGTGTTGGCACAGAGTGGGTGGTCAAAACATATTTGTTCAGTGAATGAATGTAAAACTAGGTATGGGAAAACCAGAAATGGTAACTGAATTTTTTTACTCTATAACAGATAAATGTTTTTGTAATGTCTTGCCTTTTATACAATTTCATGTTCTTCACAGATCATCTCTTCCTTGTTCTGAATATCTCTGGTTTTCTCTACTCTTTTCATAGGTTGTCTTGAGTTCCCTTTTCAACTTGGTCACTTACCTCTGAGTACACTTTGATAAAGTCACTTAGCACACAGTATTGCATGTCTAATGGAATCCTTAAGGAGAAGCTGAGGCATGTCACCTCTTTACGGCAGACATTATAATTCTATTTAGAATCATGTCACCATTTAACTCCCACTGTCTAAGGAATTATTCTTTGTCACAGGCGCACAATCGGGTAGATCTCGCCCAGCCTTTATTTATTTACTTTTCTTTTGGTTTTAGAGAATTAAATGTAGTACTTTTTATTTTTCCCTATTAAATTTCAAGGGTAAAATTTGGTTGCTCTTCCTGGACTGCTAGAGATTGCTTTTTTCGTCTTTGTTCTGACTTTTCATTTGTTGGTTTCATTTCCCCATTTTGCTCAGGAAGTCTTCACAGTAACTGAATTAGTTCATTAGCAACCTTTGGGTATATTACAGAAATTATGGGTCTAACTATTAAAATTATTGAACTCTCTCCAATTCTTCATCTTATTCACATGGATGTTATTTTAGAGACATTTTCAAAAATGCCTTTTTGAAATCTTCCTATAATATATTTCGTTGTATTTCTCTGATCTGTTGCTATTGTTCTTTGTCATTGTTTTTATTCATAGAAGGAAACAGTGTTTCTCAATGAATTTTTACTTGCTTCTAGTGATTATTACTTCTTTTGGAATAGTCATATACCATCCACTACTCAGTCCTTGACTTTTGCTTGGCCGTACAGTCCATAATTGATAAAATTTCTTTTATTTCCCCTTTCAAAAAATAGGATAGCTGTCTGCTTTAACCTTTTTTATAACAGCTTTATTGAGATATATTTCACATACCATACAGTTCACGCATTTAAGGTATTCAATTCAGTGGTTTTTAGTATATTCATTATGTATGACCATCACCACAGTCATTCTTAAACATTTTCACTTCTATTTTTTTTTCTTTTTTTCTTTTTTTTTGTCTTTTTTCATGACTGGCAACGGATCGCAACCCTCAGTGTTGCCCCTTACCAACTTTGTCTTTTGTCTTTTTCCGTGTCCGGCAATGGATCGCAACCCTCAGTGTTGCCCCTTACCAACTTTGTAACCATATACAATTAACCTTTCTAAGATTCAGTTTCATCATCTGTAAGATGGCAAAACGGTAGTACCTATATTAACATAAAGAAACATCAGACAAAATGAGAATATGGGATACTCTAACAGCCAAGATGTAGTAACAGGAACTATAGTAATCTAACCATAAACAACTAAAAAACCCTCATGGGCTGTTGTGAAGATTACGAGATGTAGTATTTATGAAGCACTTGAAACAGGACCTCGCATAAAGTAAGCTCTCTGTAAATGTTTGTTTTTATTCTTGTTAAATATGAGTATGATGATTAAAAAAGGTTGTGGAATGAAGTTAAAGTGCATAAAGGGTAAATTTTAGTAGTAAAATTTATATTATATTATAAAAAGCAGCTCAGATCAGTACTGTCAAGCTTTCATTTTAAGAAATCAGAAGAAAGGAACAATTCCAAAACAAGCAGAAAGAAGGAAATAAAGAGTAGAAACCGATGAAACAGAAAAGTGCAAAACAGTAGAGAAAAATTAGAGAAATTAAAATCTGGTTTTTTGAAAAGATCAATCTTAGTGGTAAACTTCTAGCCAGATTGATTAGTAATAAGAGGGAAGACACCAATGATAACAACAGGAATGAAAGAGGAGACATGACTACAGATCTTGTAGACATTAAATTGGACAACTTAGATGAAATGAGCAATTTCTTTGAAAAATACAAACTACCAAAGTTCATTTAAGAAGAAACTTGAACAGCCCTCTATCTATAAGAGAATTTTTTCATAGTTAAAACCTTCCCTCAAAAAACTTATCCTAGAAGACTTCACTGAGGTATTCTATCAGACATTTAAGGATGGAATAATATCAGTTCTATACAAAATCTTTCAGGAAGTAAAAGAAGAGGGAACACTTCCAAACTTTTTTGAGGTCAAAATTACTTCAATATGAAAGGAAACTACTGCCCAATATCCCCCATAAAAATAGACGAAAAAAAACCTTCAGTGAAGTTTTAGCCAGCTGAATCAGTATATAAAAAAGATAATACTTTATGTCTAAGTGGGATTTATTCCAGGAATGCATGGTTGGTTTAACATTTGAAAAAATCAATTAATGTAATTTATCATATGAACCAATTAAGGTAAAAAAACTGCATAGAATTCAGAAGAATCATTTGACTATATTCAGTACCCATTGATGACAAACACTCTCAGGAAACTAGGGCTTGAAAGGGGAACTTTCTCAACCTATTAAAGGACAACTAGTGAAATCCGATAATATACATTATGCTTAGTGATGAAAGACAGAATGCTTTTCCCCTAAGATCAGGAACAAGGGAATGATTTTTGCTTTTACCACTTCTATTCAGCATTGTGTGGAATTTATAGCTCAGGTAGTAGGGCAAGAAAAGGAATTCAGAGGCATCTAAATTGGAAATGAGAAAGTAAAACTGCTTATGTTATGTAGAAAATCTCAAAGAATCCACAAGTAAGGATATGAAGACTAGTAAGTGAGCTTAGTACAAAGTCATCATACAAAAATTAATTGGGTTTCTATATACTAGCAGTGAACAGTGGAAATTTAAGCAAAAATAAAATAAAAATATTCATATTAGCATCAAAAATATTAATACTTATGGAGAAGTTGAACAAGATATTGTAAGGCTTATATATTGAAAATTATAGAACATTGCTGAGATAATTTAAAGGAGAACCAAATAAACAGAAATAAATGCCATGCTCATTAATGAGAAAACTCGAAACTTATGTTATGATGTCACTTCTCCCCAAATTGATATGCTATTCTCCACAGGGTTTTGTATAGAAATTGTCAAGCTAATTCTTATATTTACATGAAAATGCAAAGGACCTAGAATAACCAACATAATTTTGAAAAAGAACAAAGTTGGATGGCTTGCATTGCCTGATTTCAAGACTTACTATAAAGCTACATTAATCAAGACAGTATGGTGGTATAGAATATAGTTCAGAAATACACCTACATACATATGTTCATCTGATTT